AAAAAAAAATAATAATAAATTTGTTAAATTTATAACGATCTAGATTCTCCAATCTATATTATTCACTTGATTTTATTTGGAGATTTTTCACACGGTTTAATTAAAAAATAAAATCCATATATTCCCTACATGTATGATTAAGAGTTCTTATCTGAAAAACACTATCAAGATTTTTCAGTAACTTAAAAAATATCAGGTCATTAAAAACCACCAGGTCACTTAAAACCATCAGGTCAACTAAAACCAATAAAACTAATACATGTATCAGGTCATCCGCTAAATTTTCGGTTTATAAGAAAATATCAAGTCGATTAAAATATCAGGAAATTTCTATATGTCCTGCTAGTCTGTATGTAAAAGCGTTTTAATTTACATTTTATAAAATCTTAATAATTATCGACAGATTATCCTCGATTATCAGGCCATTCATTAAAAATATCAGGTCATGCCGTAAAAAACATCTAATTTGTGATAATCGGCATAAATTTGATAATAATTAGATATGTCTTAATTCTAGGAGAAAAAAAATAAATTAAATATACCAGGCATTTTAAAATCATCAGGTCATCCAATAATATAAGTGCATTGGAATTATCAGGTCTTTAGTATAGTGATCAGGTCATATAAAAATAATGTCATTTTCTTGATTTGCATCTAATATTTATATGATTTAAAATAACATACTTATATTATAGTAAAACTATGCAGTTGAACTATATATTGTCAATCATAACATAAATTTAACCATATTTATCAGGTTAATAAAAATAATCAGGTCAATTGAAATTTATCAGGTCAACGTTTTCAGCGAATATTTCATAAAATTGCATCAAAAATTTATATGATTTGATATAAAACACTTATAGTAAAACTATGCAGTTAACTTATATATGGTCAATTATAACATAAATTTAACCATATCTATCAGGTTAATAGAAATTATCAGGTCATTCAAAAATTATCAGGTCAATAAAAATTTATCAGGTCAACGTTTTCTGCGAATATTTCATAAAATTGTATCAAATATTTATATGATTTAATATAAAACACTTATATTAGAGTAAAACTATGCAGTTGGACTATATATATGGTTAATTATAACATAAATTTAACCATATTCATCAGGTTAATAAAAATAATCAGGTCATTCAAAATATGTCAGGTCGACGTTTTCAGCGAATATTTCATAAAACTGCACCAAATATTTATATGATTTGAAATAAAACACTTATATCATAGTAAAACAATGTAATTAAAATATATATGGTCAATTATAACATAAATTCAAGCATATTTATGAAGTTAATACAAATTATCAGGTCATTCAAAAATTATCAGGTCAATTGAAAATTATCAGGTCAACGTTTCAGCGAATATTTCATAAAATTGCATCAATATTTTATATAATTTAAAATAAAACACTTATATTATAGTAAAACAATGTAATTAAAATAAATATGGTCAATTATAACATAAATTCAAGTATATTTATGAAGTTAATACAAATTATCAGGTCATTCAAAAATTATCAGGTCAATTGAAAATTATCAGGTCAACGTTTCAGCGAATATTTCATAAAATTGCATCAATATTTTATATAATTTGAAATAAAACACTTATATTAAAGTAAAACAATGTAATTAAAATATGTATGGCCAACTAAAACATAAATTCAAGCATATTTATGAAGTTAATACAAATTATCAGGTCATTCAAAAATTATCAGGTCAATTGAAATTTATCAGGTCAACGTTTTCAGCGAATATTTCATAAAATTATGCATGTTTTATTAAATAAAGTATATTTTATCATTGAATTATGGTTAATAATCAATTATTAGTTTTGAAAAATCATAAACAACTCATAATTTTCTAATATTATTAAAAAAAAATTCCATCAGGTCAATATCAGGTCTTTAGTATATCAGGTCTTTAGTATGTCCCCTCGAAAGGAGAAACCGCGGCTAGGGAAGATATCAAACTTCAAAAATATCCTTGGCATTGGCACAACTTGAAGTACCGATAACGTACGGTACAGCTGCAAATCAAAAATATTAAAATTTTAAAAAGGTCGTAAATTGGCTTCTGTGGTTGTACCATGTATACGACAGATGAAATAAAAAAAAAAATCAAGATGCTGGAAAAATTTTGAAATGGCCCCAAGTTGGTATAAAAAGAGAACCAGTTTATAAACAACGTTTCTCAGGTAAACAATGCGGTTGTTTGTCAAACCATAGAGTGGTTCAGGTCCTACAAGAAACGTATAAACAAAAATCAAGTCACTAATGTTATTTCTTGTAAGTATGTTTTATTTGGAATATTAAACGCACGCGAGTCTCTGTTTGCCTAGAAGGTTACCAGGTCCAGTTCTAATACAGATTTTAGCTAGAATATATATATAACCTATACATGCGATATGCATAGATTTATTTACCTACCTGAAGTAGCTTTGTTTTTTATTTAGCTACCAAATTAAACTTTTTTCTTGAGTTATCATTTTTCTCGGGATGTGCAGAAAATCACAATTAATGATGCAGTGATAATTTTCAAATCTAAACTCATCTGAAAACAATTCATGTCGAAGAAATACTCTTGAACAACTGTTGAAGATGAGTCCTTTTCTGTGCACTTTTGCAATCAAATTTCTAAAAGTTTTGGGGTTATATACAACAGATATAATTTGTGACCAAACAGTTACTTGAATTGAATAACAAAGAATATTGTTGGACATGCATGCAGTTACTCAAACAGTAGAAATACTTTTGCTTAATTAAAAGTGTTCAAGTGCAACAACTGTTTGTTTTAACTATCTATAGTTATGCTGTGAAAATTTGTTATTTTGGAATCCGGCCCCTATTATTTATATTGTAGTCAAATGCTTAGTGTCTTTTCCAATAAAAAGCAAAATTGTGAAAAGTTGCATTGATAGCTAAAAAGAGCTACAGGAGGTAGGTAAATAAAGCTACAGTAGGTAATTCTACCTATGTAGCTAAATCTAGTGATTGTGCTGGACCTTGTTACATCATTGACCTATGTATAAGTACATGTATATAGGTCCCTGGCTACATGTAGAGTCAGAGGAACATCAGATTAATGGAATATACCTTAATATGCATATTTTATCAGTTAATAAATGCCAGGCACATGAAATGTTATCAATACTAGTAAATCCTTAAATAAAATATAAATCCAAGATCACCTCTATGCATAAAAGCCCAATTATGTACACTATATTTCATTGAAGGCTTTATCAACATTTCATCATGCTTATACATGTACTGACAATAAAATTTTAGGGGTTGAATTCTCTCAAATGCATGTCAAACTCCAAAGGTCAAGGTTAAAGTGTTGGTACCTATAGAGAGGATTATACTTGAGAAATATGAAAGTCCTAGTGCTAACTGATCAAAAGTTATGACCAAGGTTAAATTATTTAAAAAGTGGATCAAACTCTTAGGTCAAGGTTAAAAGGTCAAAAGTAGTTATACCAGCTAAAAGGTCTTGTCACAATGAATACACACATGAAATATGAAAGCCTTAGCTCAAACTGTTCAAAATTTATGGTCAAGGTAAAAGTGTGGTATTTTTTTTTTTGTAAAAGTAGGTCAAACTCCAAGGTCAAAATCTAATTTTGGTGGTACAAAAGAAAGGTCTTGTCACAAGGAAAACACTTGTGAAATATGAAAGCAATAGTCCCACCATCAAGATAGTGATGGGCTAGGTTAACGTTGATAACAGACAAACAGGACAAAAACAATATACCCCTGGGATCTTTCGATCCAGGGGTATTAAAAACAGGGGGGTGTAAGTTAATCGCATGTTAATTAAATCATGTGTTAGCACATGAATTCATATTCCTATGTACATATATTTGTTTTTGACTCTCAGATATGTGTGCATGCATGCTGTTTGTCTCAATATATTATATTAACATTGAACTTTCTTATTTCTTTATATTTACTCTTAATATATATACATACATGTACATGTATATTTTATTTTGAGGTAAAATGTTCAAAACAGTATAATATTCTTTAGCAAGTGATCCTGAGAACAGATCCATTCAATATGAAGGAGTGAAATCATTTTTTTTAAAAAAATGGCCTTTCAAGGATCAAAGCGACAGTCATCATTTGGAGACAGACTTGGTGTCCCAAGACAGGTATGAAATTTTTAAAATACTAACGACAGATATTGCTTGCTTCTAATGGTGCTAGTCTAGAGAAATTATTTGCCAAGAATAATTTGCTTCTTGTAACTATTATTTAAATTGAAGAATTTAAGTTCCTTACTTTATTCCTTTGAATAAATTCTAACTTATGATTTTTTTCTTTTTTTTTGCAGAATGTCAGGCATGCCCAAGTTAATTCTGTTAAATTACAACAACATGGGTAAGCTAAACTTTAACTGGATATTTTTTATCGACAATAAATAAATATTAAACCCACGAGTAAAGTTTTATTTCATTTATTTGATAAATCAAATGAATTTTATTACCTAATGGAATAGGGGGGGGGGGGGGGGAGGGGGGCTGTTATATTTTTGAATTCAGAGAAAGCATATAAGATATTCATAGCACAGATATATATTTCATTGGATTTGTCAAGACTGCAATATTTCTTGGTTAAGAAAAAGAAAGGAAAAAATATAGCCCCCCCCACTTTAGTAAAAAAGAAAATGTTTAAAATGGATGAGTGGATTCTGTAAAAATTAGGAGTTGTGTATTTAACAAGTGTAATTGTGTATTTATTGGTAGGTCCTCCATGAAGAAGACAGTGGGACTCATAAATCCACAGAAAAGTAAGTTAATTTTTTTTCAAAATTTTATAAATTTATTGAAAGCTAGTTTACTTAAACTCAAAATGTATCTTGAGTATTGTGCAATACTTTTTCAATTCAATAATAATGCAAAAGTATCAGTGCATTTAATATTTGTTACACATAAGCACAAATGCTGTTCTTAAGGCAACCCTTTACTTTTACAAATATACTTATACATAAAGGTAAATCTGAGGACTATGACAAAGATTTAGAAGACAAATTTCGTCAAATGCTGCAGGGAAACATGGACAATCTTCCTAATCTCCCAAGATCTGTAGTCCGAATCTTCATCAGCTCTACATTTTCAGGTAATCCCTCTGTCATTCTCTCTATTGTCCCCTCTTTCTCATTTTCTCTTGTTCTGTCTCTCTTTCTCCACCTCTATCTCATCTCTCTCTCTCTCTCTCTCTGTGTTGCAAGTTCTCTTTCTTGCTTGCAATTTCCCTACCTTTCTCTTTACTTATGTCTCTCTCTTCCTCCTCCTCTCACCTTCTCCCCCTCTCTCTCCTTGTGACTCTCTCCTCCTCTCTCTTTCTCTACTCTCTCTCTCTCTCTTTGTGTCTCTCTTCCTCCCTCTCTCTTTCTCCCCTCTCTCTCTCCTTGTGACTCTCTCTTCCTCCTCCTCTCTCTTTCCCTCCTCTCTCTCTCCTTGTGTCTCTCTCTTCCTCCTCCTCTCACCTTCTCCCCTCTCTCTCTCCTTGTGACTCTCTCCTCCTCTCTCTCTCTCTCTCTCTCTCTCTCTCTCTCTCTCTCTCTCTCTCTCTCTCTCTCTCTCTCTCTCTCTCTCTCTCTCTCTCTCTCTCTCTCTCTCTCTCTCTCTCTCTCTCTCTCTCTCTCTTTCTCCACTTTCTCTCTGATACAAACTCTGAAAAGTATGCAAAAAATTCCATTGTGTTATATTGATATTGAACTTAAACAAATCATTAATAGTGTGACATTGTGAGAGAACACATGTAAATTTAGTTTGTAAACCAGTTTTGACCAGAGATGGTCACCATCATAACTCTTCCACATTTTAAACCTCATGGTAGTGGTCTCCAGTCTTGATTTTGAATTGCATATAGTGATTTTGATTTTACAATAAGGTTTCATTTTTGTAGACATGCGAGCAGAGAGAAACATCCTGTCCCATGAGGTTTTCCCAAAGCTAAAACAGCTATGTCTGGCCAAGGATCTAGATTTTCAGGTGGTGGACATGAGGTGGGGTGTTACAGAAGATTCCCAGAATGACCACAGTGTGGAGAAAATCTGTCTTCAGGAAATTGAGAACTGTCAAAAGTTGTCTCTAGGACCAAACTTTGTGGTGAGTTTTTCCAAAATAAAATTTGATAATTTTTTGTGGAGGAGAAAAACTGACTAAATTTTGAAAAGATTTTAACAAAATCAGGGAAAAATAAATATGTATTCCTTTTATTGGTAGCTATTTGTTAAATTTGGAATTCAGAAGTTTTTTGTCTGTGGTATTTAAACAAAGGAGTCATCTTTTTTTAAACATGTAATTGAGCATCCTCAAATGACTTAAAAATGTTAATTTCATCTTGCTCACTGAATTCTTCAAACATGTTTTAAAGTTTGATTTTGTGTCTATTGAGCAGGCAATCATTGGAGATAGATATGGATTTCGTCCAATACCAACAGAGATATTTCAAGATGACTTCAAGATCATACTGTCATATGTAACAAAAGATATAGATCTAAAACTGCTTGACACTTGGTATAAACTAGATGAAAACTGCAAACCTCAGCAGTATATTCTACAGGTATTTTGTAACTATGAACAAAAAAAATGTTGACTATATAATGCTCCAAATAACTGTGCACATTTTTATTTACAGCCAATCAGCTCTCAGTTTTCTTTTTTCGCTGACTTTTCCCCGGGATGTGATGAACACCGTGCTAGACATACAAAAGAATGGAACGCCACACTCACCAGCTTACAAAGTGTGTTGAGGGATGCAGCACTACAAGCTTTCCATTCCAAAAAATTTACAGAGGCTCAGATGCACGAGTATTTTTACTCAGGTAATGAATCACAATTTTTTTTTTTTAAAAAGGACAAGTATGCACACAAATACTTTTTTGATTGGAAAAAAATGTATGGTTGCATTGTTTAGAAATCACTGTTAGAATTCAGTCCATTGATATGACTGTATAACGATTTTGTCTTCTTTTTCAGTCACAGAAATAGAAATCAGGAAGGGCATCCTGTCGTCTGAAGATCCAGCATCACAGACAGCAGTATTCTGCCGTGAAATCACAGGCTTCAAAGACTTTGAAGACACTTTGACGATGCGCTTTATAGACACTGTCAAAGAAAATGGGAAGGTATTTGTTTTTAGTTTAGCATTAAATAAGAAAGAAGTTTTAAATATGTAGAGGTAACTCAACTATGTTCTGAATTCATTTCACTCAAAGAACAGAAATCATTTAAATTTCCTTAAAAAACAATGCATTTTTTATAGGATAGGTGGCCAAGCGCTCAGATTTATACATCATCAATCCTTGTGTATCCACATATACCTTGTGTACATGTACCGGTATCCTCATATGTACCTCCATCCATATACATTCATTAAAATACAGAAAAAAATAAACATCAATACATTAAACAAATCAAATTATTATATAATAAATTGTTTCACACATGTACAAATAATGCTTAGCACCCGTGATAAATACATAGAAGGTCAACATTTTTCACAACCAAAATTGATTATTGGACAGGTTATGATATATGGTTCTTAATTTATTTTTTTCAAGTTTTTAAATCATTCCCATTTCAAATTGCATTGTCTAGTGCATTTCACAAAAAAAAACAAAAACAAAAAAAACTTATACCACCTTTTGATTTGTTAACAAACTTTATTAATTAAAATGCCATAGGTTTGTCAATAAAAAAGTCAAAACATTATGTATTGTTACACATTTTACTGCAAAAAAGTCAAAACATTATGTATTGTTACACATTTTACTGCAAACCTTTGCTTTACCTTAATTTTCAAGAAATGAAATATGTCTTAAAACCAATATTCTCTCTCAGGTGTTTATCATAGATTCTCTTTTTTACATTTTATAGAATAATGTTAACTCAGAGATACGAAATCTTCAAAATGAACTCAAACAAAAATTGGAAACCAAAACAAAACATAGAAACAGTCACACATATAAGGTCAGCTGGAGTGTAAAAGGAATAGACCCAGGAGTCTGTAAAGAACACGAAGAATACTTAAAGACCTTTTGTAAGGATTTTTACAATGATTTTAGTCAGATGATTGACAATGCCCTCGACAAAAGAAAATCACAAATTCGCAGAAGACAATTTCGGAGCCAGTTTCCAGAAATTCTTCATCACCTACATTTTTGCAAAACAAAATGCAAAACATTCTGTGGACAGGAAACCATTCTGAACACAGTGAAACACTACATTTTGAATACCAGCATGAACAAACCATTTGTTCTTCATGCTCCATCTGGAAGTGGAAAAACATCAGTAATGGCTATGATAGTGAACAACTTGCGCACCTGGCTGAAAGATGATAATTTTGTTGGAATTATTCGATTTTTGGGAACCTCTGGACTTTGTCTGAATGTCTATGATGTATTGGTTAGTTTGGTAAAACAACTCTCCGATGTTTCAGGGATAAGGATGGAACCAATTGGTTTCAAAAAGATGAAAAATTTGTTGGAGTACTTCCCAAGGTTCATCAGAAGGGTTGCAAACACTTTAAAAAAGCCAGTAATTATTTTGCTTGATTCCATAGATCAACTCTCAGGGGAGTATGATGCACACAGTATGAAGTGGCTACCAATGATTCTGCCACAGAATATAAAGGTCATTATATCCACGCTTCCAAATGAGTTTGGAATTTTACATAGTATGAGAGCTTTATCACAAGATTCAAGCTATTACCTAGAAATAAGTGATATGCCACTTCAATCAGGGAAAGAAATGATGGAGAAATACCTATCTCTACAAAATCGATCGCTTTTACAAACCCAAGAAAAGGTATTGATGGATGCATTCTCGAAATGTCCAAGTCCCCTCTTCTTGAAATTAAGCGTAGATGAAGCAAAGAAATGGAAATCATACACCGATGAGCATCATTTGATTTTGCAAGAAACAGTTCAGGGTGCAATAAACAAGCTCTTTGACAATCTTGAAGTGAAATTTGGACACATTGTCTCTGGTCATGCTCTAGGTTATATCACCATAGCAAGGGATGGTATCTCAGAAAATGAGTTGGAGGATGTTTTGTCTTGTGATGATGAAGCTCTAAATGATGTCTATCGTTATCACAATCCACCAGTAGAGGGAATTGTGAGAATACCCCCTGTTTTGGTAGCTCGGATCAAATACGATATTAGAGAATATATTGTGGAAAGACTCTCACAAGACAAATACACCATGAACTGGTATCACAGACAGTTTACTGAGTGTGCTAAAGCCAGATACTCAACAGGCACACAAGGAGAAGTATTGCATAAGAATTTAACTGAGATTTTTATGTGTGAGACGTCCCTGAAACGAGATATAACATTAACCAGGAGAAAATTGACCATTTCAAATGCAGACAGACAAGTCACAGAGCAGCCTGTTTCAGATCAAAACAAAAGAATGTTATTTTGTCTTCCATATCATATTATTCAATCAGGAAGATCCATGTCATTGCAAACTGCAAAAGATAAATGCTTCTGCAATTTTAATTTCATTCACAACAAATTAGAGGCCTTTTCAGCAGATGTTTTGGTCAGTGAACTCAACGAATTTCTTCAATTACAAGAAGATCCTGAATTAGAAAAGTTGAGGGACTTTTTCATTTCATCACCAAACGATGTATTCTCACCAAAGAGATTGGCAATCAGTCTTCTGGAATATGTTTCAGTCGATACTGCAGACACCTCTCTGCAAAAGCTTCTTAGCAAGGCTGAGGACTTTCTAAGAAATCAAAGTACGTCTACTTTGATTCCCCTTCATCCAGGAAAGGCTCCTAGAAAAGGTCTTGCAGAGGCTATTATTTGTTCCTTCACTGAGATCGACGGCATTATATCATACAGCCAAGGGGCAATTTTAGTGAAAGATTCTTCTAATCAAAATGAGGATGTCGCCAATTCATCTTACAAAGTTTTTTTCGATAATGCTGAGGAACTGGTTGATGTGGGCGTTCCCTTTATTACCAGAGAAGAACATCAACCCATTGTTGATAGAGATGGTCAAAATGTAATCTTTATATCACCAGATTCTGTTACATGCCTTAATTTGGTAGAAAAATGTAAAATTAAAAGACAGTTTCAAAATCTCTTTGCAAGAGGTTCCAAGCAGGATATTTGCAAAAGGATCAGTACAAGTAAAAATTATTTGGTAATGCTATTTGAAAATGAAATCATCATAAAATTGAATATTATCAACTTGGAAGAGATAAATAGATGGACATTAATTGACAGAACAGCAGATGTGCTGGATATCATCTGCACAGACACAGAACATATTTTGGTCTTAGTTGCAAGAAATGCAGATAATGGAAGCGAACTTCTGGTTTATACCAAAGAGACGAAACATCCGAAACACTATTATTTTGATTGTCAGATGTCCAAAAACTGTTGGGGAATATCTAAAGCAGAATGTCTGTTTACTGTCTTGGGTAACAAAGGAGAGACCCATACAATAACAAGTGTCGATTTCAACAAAGGGGAGACTAGGACACCGATTGAAATCCAAGATCGATTGAAGTACATTTCATATTCAGAATCAACATCAATAGTATGTTGTTGGAGTGATGAACATAACGTTGTTGTTGCTTTTGATCTAGAAATAAGAAAATTATTGTACAGAGTAAAAGTCAGTAACCTAGTGTCTTGTGCTACACTTGGTGGGGAATCCTCTCTTTTGTTTGTAGGAGAAGAAGACGGGACCGTTTCATTGTTTGATAGCGTAACTGGTAACCCTTTTACTAGTGTCAAAGCTCATGGGGGCAGAGTTCAACAAGTAGTCGTGCTTGATGAACTTTTGATTTCTCACGGGAAGGGCAAAATGTTGGTTTGGTCCTTGAAATACTTACTTGAGAGTCTACAGAAGGGACATGAAAAGAAGTGTGTTTCATCTGCTAAGCGGTTACTTGATGAAACTTCAATCATTTCCATTGCTTTGTATTCCCAGGATGACCAGTTTATCACTGTAGATGAAAATGGTGGGTTGAAAATCTGGACAATTAACGAGGGAAAATTTGTGAAAGAATTCTCAACCAACTTGAAGCCGAAGAAAGTTTTGTGTTTAAAAGAAATGTGTTGTGTTCTTAGTAAAAACAAAGAACTCAGACTCTTCAATTTGCAGACTTCAGAAAGGGTTGATATTGATTTACCGAAAGATGTTCTAGACGTTGTAATGGGAACAAATTCAACGGTATTATATACGCTTGGAATGAATGGTAAATATCTGGTTGTGTCAATTTTGGACTTAAGACAAAAAACGACGCGGAAGTCTTTTCCTCTTCAGTCCATTATACAGTTTGAATCTCTAGACATCTGCCTGAGTCGAAGTGAGAGATATCTTTGTATTCGGCTGAAAGTTACCCAAGAGGAGTTAGAAAATATAAAAGCATCATCAGAAAAGCGGTCTTTTACTCCACAGGATCATCCAAACAAATTTGTAGCTGTTGATTTACAGCAAGAAACTGGAGGGCTCATGCCTTGTGTGAGAAATTTTAGTCCTATACCTCACCTCGGAGAAGTCATATGCTCTCATATAGGAAATTCAATGATCATCAACAAAAGAGATTGGGTCATATTTTGGGACATTCCAGCAGGTATTTAACTTCCTGGCATATACAAAAGAATTACATTTATCTGTAACCAATGTCATTTCATCAAAGAATGTACCAAATTTTTAATTTTGATTATAAAGTAACGTGTAGAAAATTAATTAGGAAGAAGTTACCTCCAAGAGAATGCGTTATTATCATATGGTACTGAGTTGTAAATTCCATTATGGTTTTCAAGCTTCAATATTGGGGATAAACGTGAACAAATATTTAAATCTGGAGAAGTAACATATAACAAGCACTGTTTCACATTCAGGAAAATGCCGGAGGAGAGCAAAAGAAAAAGAACAGTCAGCAAATAGAAATAACTGGTTTGAGAATTTTAAAGATTTCAAAGGACATAGTAAAGCACTGGCGCAAACCAAGGATGGACAAACTATGGCTTTAGGAATGAAAAGTGGCTATGTCCTTCTTTTCAATACCACAACAGCTTACCCAATTGGAGAAAAGTTACCTATCACCAAACATGCAGCACCAGTATGTAAAATGATATTTTCTTCAAATTAACAACAAAAGTTATTTTCAATTTTGTCAGAACAATAAAATTTGATTTATCTCTGTCCTTGTAATTTCATTATCAGATGCCATTAATATGTTATTTACAAAAACACTCACCCTTCGAAAATTATTATGCATGCTTTAACTTAAAAAAATCCATTACCATATCCAATTTATTCCTTCATTTTTTTTACTAATTTAGGTGACGAGTTTGGTATTTTCTGCGGACGGTCATTGGTTAGCTTCAGCGTGTCAAAACAACAGAATTAAAGTATGGAACTGTATGACAGCTACCGAGATCTTCAGTACCAAAGCACACGGAGAGGTCCAGGAAATGATTTTCTCAATTGATTCAAGACATTTAATAGCACTGTCTGGCAAACAGTTCTCACGCATTCTTTTGTACAGGATACATCCAGGAGACAATGAAAGGGTGGATAAATAATCTGGCTGGGTATACAGTTTACAATTACTCAGGGTTACTTAAAAAAACACCTTAATCATCTGTATTTTCATGCCATTGCTATTATTCGTATTGTACATGTATTTATGAATTTATTATTTGAAGTCAAAAGAACCTAAAACACTAATCTATAATAAAGTTACATTTCTTAAATCCATAATTTTATTTTATGTCTTGCATCTAATGGTTTTAAATTAAAGTACATATATTGTACTAAGTATTGATTTAAGCAAGGTTCTCAATCATTTCTTTTGTAACTGTAGATACAGACGTACGGGAAATGCTAAAATTCATCGTCCAATGCAAGCGAATTTGCGAAGTAACCACTGAATAAATTGAAAAACAAAGAGCCATCCTGTCGTATCTAGGACAAACTTCCTCCATTTTTGTCTTTCTGGACGAGCCTAGTTTATGAGCCCCAAGTTTGGTGCATGGATTTCATCTCACTTTCTACCGTCCTTTTTCATGATGTTCTTGGCCTGCCACTCTTTCTTTTGTCAGTTTAGGTCTAGTGCAGTTCTTGTTAATTTTTGACTGAAGTCTTTTTGTAGAACTTGGTGGGTGTACTTCTTTATGCCACCCTCTCGTTTAATGATACTACCTACGTAAGTAAAGTTGTTAGGCGTAGTTGTTCACCAGTAACCTTAACAGGACAAGGCAATTCCACAAATTTGTGACATTATTTTCATCTTCTAGGTACTGAGACGTAGTCTCATCTGCTGTCCGTAGGTTTGTATAGCCTGATGGTCTTCTCTTGGATATGTGCTGGTGTGTTTGTGAAACTTAAGGGCAAGGTCATCCGCAAAGTCCAGATCCTCTAAAGTTCAGAACAGGCCCCAGTGGATCTTCTAGAGAGAGTCTTAGGTTGTCTTCTACTTGACCTAATTGATGACCAAGTTGAATAATACTGCAGACATCATGCATCCTTGTCTGAGTACGGGTTTTACATCAAAGTCGTTCTTTCTTCTACTTGGCTTTCGAAATTGTTGTGAAAGTTCTTGATCAGGTGGACCAGTTTAGATGGAATACCATAATGACAAAGGATATGCTCCAAAGGCTCTCTCACTGTAAGCTATTTAATGCCTTCTCAATGTCTACGAACTTTAAGTACAGTTGTTTCCACCTCTTTAAACACTCTATAATGCTGCGGAGTGCAATGATCTAATCAGTACATCCTCTTTGTTTCCTGAACTCTGCTCGCTCTTTCCTCAGTACAGCGTCGGACATTCTTTTGATGATTATCTTTGGCAGGATTTTATTTGGGCAACAGAGTGAATCAGTTGTTGCAATCGCCCAGGGCTCCTTTCTTTTGGGCTCATAACAATCTGAATCACCCCATAACACTTTCTATCCCTCACAGTCGCCCGCATGGCGCAGTGGTTAGAGTGTCTGCTCTAGAGTCGCGAAGTAAGGAGTTGATCTTTACTTCTCGGGTTCGAACCCCACTGTGAGACGTGGAGAACAGTCATTCGGGTGCGACCGTAAAAACCGAGGTCCCGTGTCGCAGTAGGCGTTGGCACGAAAAAGACCCCCCCCCATGCTGAATGGCCCCGAATGCCGAGTATAGGACAAATTTGCAACTCTCCACCGGCAAGTGGTGACGTCTCCATGTGAGTGAAAAATTTTCGAGGGACGTTTAACAACATACAAACGAACAAAATGTATTGCATCCCTCTTTTGAAGAGTATTGTATAGATTATGATTTAGTTAAATCAGAAATATTTTCACTGTGGACATCAAGAACCTTTTATAATTATGATTATTTCAGAATTCTTATGTGTGGAATTATAATGATTTTAAAAGAACTTGGTAGATTTTACATTTTGTGATGGACATAAATTTGAGCTTCAGGGAGCGACGGGATGATACAAATTGGTAACTTCCGTAAGACTTGTTGGCGTACATAATTAAAGCAGCATCCAGTCAAACTATTTTTATAATATTTTTAACATAAAATATGTTCAAATTAAGCAAAGGTTCATAATGACAAAAACAAGCTAGCTCTCTTTTGGTATTAAAAATCCAAGTAAGAACTTGTTAGAATTTTATTGATCAAGTTGAAGTCATCAAAATATGTTCTGAATAACCCTTTTTCCTTCTTAAGTTTCATCGATATTTATACATTTATCATTATAGAGATTGAAATAACAAACAAAAAATTAATTGCAGTATACATGTATACATAAATTTCATACGCTCTCATATTACAAAAATCCTAAATGGAAACAAACCATTCACTTATAAATTATTACCATGATAAATAATTCAGTTTAAACTGGTAGTAACTATTTATGTCCTAAATGCGATTGTTCTCTTGTTTAGCGCTGGAGCTCAGTGCATATAATTAAATACATGTAATTAGTTTCGTGATAACATTCCATGTAATATATCTTGGTGGAATATCTGAAGCATAAATATTGCTAGAAAACCCTGTTGGATTATCAATTAATAATTAGTTTCCTGGAATTATACTCTATGTAATTTATATTGATGGAATATCTGATGCATTAAAACTTAAGATATTGCTAGAACCCATTCAGTAGGAAGCTAAAATTGTGCTAATTTTCTGATGTCGAACCTTGTCATGTATTTATCAGAACTTTCCTTTTTAACATTTTCCATCTTGCAAACCAGTTTTAATGGAATAGTTTTAGGTTATACTTCGAATAACTTTTTGGGAGACTGTTTCCAAAATAACAACATAAGCGGATATATTTTGCTATTTGATCGCTCCTTTGTGGATTGTGTTCGCGAGTGCAAAAGAAGACCAAGATGTCAAACAGTAAGATATGATAGACGGATCTTAGTGTGCGTGTTGTACTCTTCAATACTCACCAACGTCCAAGGGGGTGGATGTTTCCAAATGACAAGAAATGAATTTCAAACCCAGATTGTGAGTTTTTAAGCCTTTCACATATCTAAACTAATCAATTTAGTGCCATTTTCAAATATTTACGTACGTCCTCCAATAACATATTATTTAAAAAAAATTGGAAATTACTACTGTAAAATCAAATATTTTCGTGGGGTCAAATTTCTGCGGTTTGAGTAAAAACTCTTTGTTCGTGGGGATTTGAATTCGTGGATGAAGAATTGTTGTGTAGTTATGTATGTAACATTTTATATTTCTTGGTGGACATGAATTCATGGGTATCTTTATTCCTCGAAAATAATGAAAATTAAACCCCCACGTAAATTTGTGATTTCACAAAATATAACAAAACAAAACAATTCTGAGAAAATTGCATAAAACAAATTTGACTCCCCTTTCGATGTCAGTAATAATTTTAAAAATATCAATAAGGGGAAAGATTCAAATGCCATTTGGATAAGGGACACAAATACCAAAAAATCAGCAGATCTTGGAAAAGTCCAGATAAATAACTAAGGGGATCGAACATACTGACGGATTTTCCCGAATATAAGAAACCAGGTAAAAAAGACCCTGAACAGTTAAACATATACTCAGCCTTGCGTCACTGATGAAATTACCTTCTTCGTCTCCTTTGTATAACTTCCTAGGCACTGGAGGGTAAATGTGAAGAATACTATTTGAAATGTAACAGAAATGAGATGTGCTCGTTGACCAACCCAACAAAGGAACCATATTGTGAAATTTCAGGCAAGTGTTCTGATGATTTACCAAAAAAATTTAGATTTTGCATTTTATTTAATCAGGCCAAGCTTAAAAAAGTCTTTGTTTGCAGTTGCCGACCTATAATTTTTAGACTGGGTCGGTAGGTAGGCATTCTTTTTTTTTATTTTTTATTTTTTGGAAAAAAAATTGGATTTTTGTTAGATAACAAATAAAAGAGGTTTTCATAGACCTACTATACATGAAAAAACTCAACTCTTGTTATAAACCACTGACTGATAAAACAGAAGTCAAAATTTGAAAAAAAAACAAAACAAAAAAAAAACAGTTTCAATATTCTGAACAATTGAAAAAAAAGAATTAAATTACAAATTGGCTAAAAAAAAGTTTGGGTCGGGTGCATTTTCAGTGGTTCGGTAGGCAACTGCAAACAAACTTATTTTTATTTTAGGCCTCATAATGCAATAGTTTTAATTAAGAAATAACCTGTTGTCGAATACATGTACCTAGTATAATGTCAGAATCAAGAAAATATCTTTGCCTTAAATTGATTATCTATAATCTTGAAAACATATACATGTATTTGAGTTTATTTTCTCAAAATATTATCTGTGCAAATCATTTTTGATATCGAAATGATTTCCTAAAATATATTAATACTACGATAAATCACCAAATCAAAATGTAAATCAATTTCAAAGGTGTGACTGAAGAATTGAGAATGAAGTATCTTTCCATGCCATCTGTTTATATTAAACATTGAGAAGTTAAATTATACCGACAGAAACCTTTAGTATCACTACTGTCCCATGTTGACGGCATAAACCTTTTAATATAAATAATACATGCTAAATTGCTATACATATCGCAGTTTATGTAATCGATAGATCGGAAATCGATCGTGATGGTCGCATTCATTTAAATAACATACCATAACAAAGTCTGCTACGAACAGAATATCACTGGTTAAAGATTGCACATAAAATTATAATTACCTTTTCAATTTCATTTTATTGCTTTTCTTTTCAAAAAAAGAGCATACATTCATAAACGTTTTTTATCTATGTATGGATGGTATTCTGTATAAGGTATTTTGTATGAGTCTACGGATCTAAACAAATTTTCACAGCAATTTTCAAATAAAATATTCATAAATGCACTCCAATATCGTTTTACCTTCATTCTGTGAAACTGCGGGCTTTAAGAGCTCAGCAAACGTTCTAGAGGCACATTTGTAAGTGAATTCCCTTAGCGTATTCCTACATAATTGTTTGAATAGTTATGTCTCTTTTCGTCTACAAAATCAGTTTATGATTACAGTTTGTCAAAAAATTGAGAAAGTATCAAATCTTTGACTACCAAAAACCAAAGTATATTTTGTTTATATTTAATGAGATAATATGTTTAACGTTAATGTTGTGATATAATTTTTGTATCAATAAAAAAAAACACACTGTGTTGCAGCTACCCTCATGTACAGCTTATTTTGTGAGAAAATGTGTGCTTATGATCAGAAATAAGTTTGATAACCTAGTTTGATAATTTTTTTCTCAGACAGCTCCTAATTTCCACTTGGCCAACACAGCTTTACCTTCCTTTATTTTTAGCTCACCTCGACGAAGTCGAGATGAGCTTATGCTATACCCCCGGCGTTGGCGTCGGCGTCGGCGTTAGCGTCGGCGTCCCAGGTTAAAGTTTTAGGAGCAAGTCCATTCCCAAGTAACTATAAGCCCTATCTGAACCAAACTTGCATGGATGTTGCATCTAGGGATGTACACTACCAGACTTGCTTCGGATGCTGGATCTGACCTACATTTTCTAGATGAGTGACCAGGTTAAAGTTTTTGGAGCAGGTTAAAGTTTTTGGAGCAGGTCCATTCCCAAGGAATTATAAGTCCTACCCAGACCAAACTTGCATGGATGATGCATCTAGGAATGTACACTACCAGACTTGCTTCGGATGCTGGATCTGACCTACATTTTCCAGATGAGTGACCAGGTTAAAGTTTTTGGAGCAGGTCTATTCCCAAGGAACTATAAGCCCTACCTGAACCAAACTTGCATGGATGATGCATCTAGGGATGTACAATACCAGACTTGCTTCGGATGCTGAATCTGACCTACATTGTCTAGATGAGTGACCAGGTTAAAGTTTTTGGAGCAGGTCCATTCCACAGGAACTATAAGCCCTATTTGGACCAAACTTGCATGGATGATGCATCTAGGGATGGACACTACCAGACTTGCTTCGGATGCTGGATCTGACCTACATTTTCATTTCCAAGTAACTATAAGCCCTACCTGAAGCAAACTTGCATGAATGATGTATCTAGGGATGTACACTACCAGACTAGTTTCAGATGCTGGATCTGACCTACATTTTCATTCCCAAGGAACTATGAGCTCTATTTGGACCAAACTTGCATGGATGATGTATCTAGGGATGGACACTACCAGACTTGCTTCGGATGCTGGATCTGATCTACATTTTCATTCCCAAGTAACTATAAGCCCTACCTGAAGCAAACTTGCTTGGATGATGCATCTTGGGATGGACACTACCAGACTTGCTTCGGATGCTGGATCAGACCTACATTTTCATTTCCAAGTAACTATAAGCCCTACGTGAACCAAACTTGCATGGATGATGCATCTAGGGATGGACACTACCAGACTTACTTCGGATGCTGGATCTGACCTACATTTTCATTCCCAAGTAACTATAAGCCCTACCTGAACCAAACTTGCATGGATGATGCATCTAGGGATGGACACTTCCAGACTTGCTTCGGATGCTGGATCAGACCTACATTTTCATTTCCAAGTAACTATAAGCCCTACCTGAACCAAACTTGCATGGATGATGCATCTAGGGATGGACACTACCAGACTTGCTTCGGATGCTGGATCTGACCGACATTTACATTCCCAAGTAACTATGTGCCCTATTTGGACCAAACTTGCATAGATGATGTATCTAGGGATGGACACTACCAGACTTGCTTCGGATGCTGGATCTGACCTACATTTTCATTCCCAAGTAACTATAAGCCCTACCTGAAGCAAACTTGCTTGGATGATGCATCTTGGGATGGACACTACCAGACTTGCTTCGGATGCTGGATCAGACCTACATTTTCATTTCCAAGTAACTATAAGCCCTACGTGAACCAAACTTGCATGGATGATGCATCTAGGGATGGACACTACCAGACTTACTTCGGATGCTGGATCTGACCTACATTTTCATTCCCAAGTAACTATAAGCCCTACCTGAACCAAACTTGCATGGATGATGCATCTAGGGATGGACACTTCCAGACTTGCTTCGGATGCTGGATCAGACCTACATTTTCATTTCCAAGTAACTATAAGCCCTACCTGAACCAAACTTGCATGGATGATGCATCTAGGGATGGACACTACCAGACTTGCTTCGGATGCTGGATCTGACCTACATTTTCATTCCCAAGTAACTATAAGCCCTACCTGAAGCAAACTTGCATGGATGATGTATCTAGGGATGGACACTACCAGACTTGCTTCGGATGCTGGATCTGACCTACATTTTTCATTCCCAAGGAACTATGAGCTCTATTTGGACCAAACTTGCATGGATGATGTATCTAGGGATGGACACTACCAGACTTGCTTCGGATGCTGGATCTGACCTACATTTTCATTCCCAAGTAACTATAAGCCCTACCTGAAGCAAACTTGCATGGATGATGTATCTAGGGATGGACACTTCCAGACTTGCTTCGGATGCTGGATCTGACCTACATTTTCATTCCCAAGTAACTATGAGCCCTATTTGGACCGAACTTGCATAGATGATGTATCTAGGAAGCTGGATCCGACCTATATTTTCCATACAAGAGACCAGGTTAAAGTTTTGGGAACAGATCAATCCGAATGAACTTGAAGTCTTTGATATCTGCAGTTTTAACAGTTATGAATATTTGTTTACACAATACATGTTTTTCACACTACACGCATAGAAATGTGTATATACCATGTAAAGGGTTCAGCACAACTTGCAAGAATATTGTTGTTGGGATGAATACTTAATATTAAGAAAATATGATGTAGGATTTGCATTACTTAAACTGATAACATTCGTCGAGGTGAGCTTCGAAATCTTTGATTACCTATGTTTTATTTATTTATTCATTTTTTTTTTTTTTGATGGCTAAAACTAAAAGGTGACAAACGTCAACACGTCTAAAATTCAATGAGTATAAGTGTATTTTTCAAATTATAAAAGGGAGGTAATCAAAAGATATTTACAGTTATTTTTAATAAACATTTGAAACTTATGGATCAAACATTTATCCATTAAGAATTTATTGCCAAAAAGAATTGTGAAATAGTTCAATAATACCCAGTAGTCACTACAATTATTACACAATCCACTAATCATGAATATCTCGTCATACTAAAATGAAATATGAATTCAAAAAGAAAAACAGCTATTGTGCTCAAAACTCCACGAAAACAATTCAAACTGAGGCAGAGCAAACAAGAGCCCCCTAAATTATCAAAGTCGGGATTAGCTGCTTTAGAGGAGTAAACATACTTTGACGACCCATTACACCTGCCTTGTTATTTTTTGTCAAAATGAGGGAAAACTAAGAAATTTGTGGTCAATATGAAACAAATTTAACAAACTTGTATAAATGACATCATTTTACCATTCGACTTACTTAATTTAGTTGAAAGAAAAAATTTACCATCAATTGCTACATCATCGTCGCAAACCACAGCCAAAATGTACGATCCTCTCCCATTCTGGAGAGAGCTATATGCGGACTCCGGACCGTGGCTTGAGACGATGTGGCTACATGTATCTGTAGTAAAATATGAAACTGTCAATCTCCATGGTGTTTCTTATTCCAAGTTTGATGTGCAGGTAATTCTAAATGACTTTGGTATAAAAAATATCAAAATTGTGATTTCTTATTTGTTGAAATTAAAAATATACATGAACATATAATTTTGTGTTTCAATAATTTGACAGACTGTGGAGTGGGTCCGCCATCTATTTTGCACGATGTGGTAATTCATTATGTCGATAACAACAAGGGAAGTACAGCTCGCCTGAAATGCAAGGACTATGTGAGGTTTTCAGAGGGGTCAGGACATGCTGTTTGTACAAACCAGGGCAAATGGCAGGTGGATCTGAACTGCAGCGGTACGTGTAATGTGTGAGTGGAGGGGGTGTAAGAGGGGTTGTTCGTGAGAGAGAAAGCTGGAAGGACGGAGCTTGTATTTTCAACAAATTTAGCACTTACACCAAATTCTTTTACTACTATTCTTTTTAGTATAAGAATGAAACCAATTATTGACTACCGTAGCATAGGTGTTAAAGAATAAATCAAATAGAAGAATTTAGTATTAAATTTAAGAAAGCTTATTTTGTTCGGAAACAAAATACACAAATATCAGAGAACGATACTTTATACATAAATCATACATTAGCCTTAAATTTTATGTAATGTTTTACACGAAATTCATCAAATGCTGCAATAAAACTAATGCATATACATGTACTTCAACAAAAATGTGTTGGGTTCAACAGGTGTACGTATTAAATATCCGTCAAAATGAAACGTTATTTTAAACTTGTTTATAAATTTGATTATAAAAAAAATGCATCAATTATGCACGAGTTTTGACTTTTTACTTGTTTCCCTCCATGACGTCATACATTTTGGTGACTGTTTTATTCGAAGCATTAATTTTAGTACAAAGTTATCTATATATCATTTGACAAGGTTTCACATTTTTCGGTCAGACAGTTGCAATATTTTTGCATATTATGTCACTATATATTTCCCGTTCATTTCAGTGTAACCTATTTTTTAATTAAAAGGAAATGCAGTCCCTATTACATTACTTCGTACAGACTGTTTTTTAATATATTTCCTTAGTTCCCTTGGATTGTAAAGAGCTGTACGACAAATACGATGTTCGTGAGAGTGGGCCTCATTATATTTCTCCTGACAAGACTTCCGGTATCCTTGCCAACTGTGACATGACCACAGAGGGAGGCGGGTGGACGGTAAGGTTTATCATCTGATATACTCTGAACATATCACATTTGGTTGTTTATATTTAGCAATTTAAGTGGAAATTTTAAGAAGGTTCTGTCTTATTTTTGCACATCAATAAATCTTGCCAAAAACTAGTGCTATGGAAAACAAAGATTTAACCCAGTAAAATTCAAAATGACCAGTCACAGTATATGAAAATTTTCAAGTTCAAGCTTAGTTTGCGGTGTGTCTTTAATTGAATTGTTAACATATGGCCTCTTAAAAATGTAACTCACTCTGAATGGGAAACATTTGTTAATTTTTTTTTTGCATAACAGATAATACAAAGACGAATAAATCCAGATCTGGATTTCTATAAAAGCTGGAGTGAATACAAAACTGGATTTGGAAACATCAGCAGCAACTTTTGGCTTGGTATGTTCTTATTTCATTATCCGATGCCACAACTTCATACGAATATATTAGGCCATAACCTTTTCCAAATTTATTAACTATGCTCTATTTGTTAACTTTTCCGAAGAATGGGATTTGTTTTAATTATCATTGGTGGGTCACAAATTGCAAGCTATTACACTTCCTTTGAAGGTAACGATGCATTGCACGCACTGACGGCCACGCCAAATACTTTACGATTCGTCTTAACGGACTTCTCAAACAACGTTAAATATGCAGATTACAAAAATGTGGAAGTCAAAGACGAACAAGACCATTACAGGTTGAATTTCGAAGAGTATCTTGAAGGCAACGCAGGTTAGTTTACGAGCAAGTTTAACTTAAAAAAAAAATCATTCTTGCCGCAAGAAAACCATCAGAAAATATCAATATCGACCGATGCCACTCTAGCCAGTCGCAATCTCTCCCTCTCTCACGAATATATTTTTCAAATTCTATATTCATTTTAAATAAGCTACGAGAATACATGGATGATATGTAAAGTAACAAACGCTGGGCCCAACATTCTCAATGGTTCAATTTATCAATACATTTTATGAACAGAGCAAACACGAACCTCTGAAAACATCTTTGTTAAAACAATGAAATATGGAAATAACAAACAGTAATCAAGCTAGATAGTTTATGAAAGCAAAACAGATTGAATGAGAAAATGGCAAATACGAATGTCTAAAATTTAATGGTGTGATCAGGTACCACGGAGGAGGATGCATCCCTTGATCCTTCACACCTGCTGCTTGCTCCTTGTCGAACTAAAACATCCATAGACAACTCAGTGTTAAAAACTGGTCTATCAATTTGATTGAAAAAGGGTCAGTCAGCATTCGACTAAATGATATACAGTATTTCTGTCAGGGTCATTGTAAAGACCATAGATCTTGCGAAATTTTGGCTTAAACGAGACGATTATATCTTGTTTCATCAACTTTGTATGTTTTAGCAGGGCATTCATATCAAATCAACTGGGAGAAAACATATGCAAGTGATAAGTATACATACACAAAGGAAATAGGCGATAGAAAAAATTTAAACCATTGCGCTTATTATAAAGTTTTGTTGTTAGGTTACAAATAATGTTCTATTAAGATATCAAATAATGCAATATCCAAGTTTCAAGGAAATATCGTATCAACGTAGGAATAAAAATAGAATTATCAATTGATAAAACGTCGTCTGTATATCTAAATATTGAATTGCAGTCTACTGCAAATACTTAGTCTTTTGATGAATCGAATTTTAGAAAAAAAAATATTTCTGCTTTGAAAAATGTTTCTTCGGTTGTAAGTTTGGAAATCATTGTTCCAGCTTTTGGCGCTAGGCTATGAATTTTTCTGCAACAGCTGCATTACGTTTATGCCTATACTAACAATCAAACAAATAAATTTTATTGTTTCTACTTGTATCTCTATAAGCAATCCCCGAATTCTATTACTTTAGGATCATTCATTGTGTAAGGAAAATGCCTGAAATTTTCATGGCAAGAAATTAACCATATTATATTGATTTTTCAGGAAATGCTTTGAAGGGAAGTGAATCTAAATACTGGGCTTATGGAATGCAGTTTAGTACACATGATATGGACAATGATAACTTGGACTCCGTGAATTGTGGTTCTTACATGAAAGGGGGGTGGTGGTATAATAGCTGTACAACCTCTAATCTGAACGGTGTTTACTGCGAGTCCTCAGATAGGCATAACTGTATGACGTGGTCCGAATCCGATGATTATTCCGAACTCAGAGTCGGTCATAAGGAAACTGTGATCATGATCCGTAGGACCGTGTGAAATACATGGAAAACATTGAACATATTTTTTTCTATTCTAAAGGATAAAACTGTTGATCAAACCTATCTCAGTAATTGGCTTTGAAGATGTTTCCTTTCAGATCAAATTGAAAAATACTCCGCAGAAATATCGACATAATTTTTGTATAATGACTCAAACAAACGTAAATTTTTACTTCTTTTATAAGACGATATTTGACACATCAGTTTGCACAATTCCTGCACAACCAACTTTTTCAATACGTCAAAACAAATCCTAGAATGGAAGCCGGCATATTATAGTCATTCTAATAGTCATAACACTGAATGTTGAAGCGGAACTCTACATTTCGTCATTTAAAAGGAGGGAAACCGTAGAAAACAGCTCCAGTTTTTAAAAAATCTTCAACAAACCTGAATATTTGCAAATTTTCTTTAAAAAGAAAACATATAACTGTTGTTGTGTAAATGTAATTTTTGCTTTGCATGTGTAAATTTTTGCATGTAAATGGGATAAACTGTGCCTTTAGAATTATTTGTACATTCAATTGATTGTCCAATAGTCTTGTTTTTGCCTCTTTTTTTTTTGTCCTGCAATGATAACTGCTCGATTTTCCTTGATTATGCAACCAGTTGATAATCGCTTATTGTAACATAAAAAGGCCGTTGAAAATATAATTGCTAGTTTCTTTGATGTGATATTTTTCGATAAAGGATTAATTATTTTGACTATTTTTTATGAAAATAAACTAATGACAAATATACATTTGTACATGTAAATTAAAACAGTTAATGTCTTTGTGTTAATGTTAAGTATGGTATTGATATTCCAGTCATTGCATATGAATATATACATACCCGCTTTAATTTCTTTGGGAGATCAATTAACAATACCACAAAATTTCGGAATGTCATGTACATGTAATTGGTGAGCAATGGGGATTTTTCAATTTAACCTGTTACACCGGCTTGGAGTCAGAAATGTCAGTGGTATTTTAATTTTTTTATTATAAAAATTCTAAAATCAAGTTTTCTAACAGATTTTAAACTGTCCATATTTATATGATCTCCTTCAACTGAAATAGATAATAATCATTATTGAAATCATATGTCAATAGACTTATATTACATTTTAATGACTGCTCTTTCGTTTAAAAAAGGGGGTATTGAAATCAATTGGACTATCATGTGTTTTAAGGGATTCAGAGAGACACATTGATATATAGACAAGCCATGTACATGTAAGTTTAAGTTTTTATTATTATTTAAAAAACTATGATTCTGTTCTCAGTAAGGAAGTCATTACGACTAGTAAGGATCTCTGTATCTTACAATATCATATAATATGAATTTATCTGACAACAAGGCTTCAGTAGTTTGAAATAAATCTCATTCACACAAATCCATATTTGATTAAAACACTTGTCTGATGAGTTTTGTGGCATACTGTTCAAGAAAGTAGGTGGCGTTAAAAATATAAGTGGAACAATAGGAACATAGACGTAGAGAGTTTTCTTTCGTGAACGTAAGAAAGTCTCAGTATTTCTGGCAATAAGACGCTATGAGGAGGCATATGAGTGTGGACGAATGCTCCAAGGCTGTATAAAGCATGCAAAACACAACTTCGCGCTGCAGAGATAGATCGTATTTCCCAAAGTGTAATAAGCCGTTTATGAAACCGATATTATATACAGGCAGGAAATTGTCAAAGAAGGCCAAAATCGGGAAGTCTAAGGTGTACAACAGTCAGGGAGAACCATTATTTGGCGTTTGGAAAGAGACACCACTTCCAAAGTGCTTCTCAGCTCAATATTGAGTTTCAGAGAGTAACAGGTAGGCGGATATCGTCTCAGACAGTTTAAAACAGACTCTCAAGGATTTCGGACCTGTCGTACGTCTTGTATCAAAATTAGAGCATCACAGAAATCTACTTCAGTGTGTTCTGCGGAACACAGAAATTAGGAACAACGTCATTAGCGTTGTTCTCTTCTCAGACGAGTCGCAATTTGGTATTGACTTTCACGATGGCAGGGGACTAGTTAGGAGAGCAAAGGGGAATTTAAAAAAATAATAGTGCCGATTGTTGCGTTACTGAGCATGGCAGATTTGGAAGATGATTTCGGCAGGCATAAGTGTTGACTACAAAACTGATCTGCACATTACTGTAGACTCCCTGACAGGTTTAAAATAACGGGATGTTATTCTTCATCCTATTGTTAGACCTGTTGTAGGTACTGTGGGGGAGGACTTCATCTTTATGGACTATAATTTTCAACCTCACAGAGCCCGAATCGCAAACGAGTACTTGGAAAGTGAAACAATTCAGCGAATGGACTGTCAAAGTCGTCCTCCAGGACCTAAACCCAATTGAGCATCAATGAAATATTCTTCAGCAATACATTTTAGCTTGTCCAACACTTCCTCAAAATCGACGGGAGCTTTAGACAGCATTGCAGGAGGAATGGCAACAGATACCTATGGCTAGCGTTGCACGGCTGACAGGCAGCATGGATCGGTGCTGTAGAACAGTTATTGCCTTGCGAAGAGGTCATACAAAGTACTGACAATCATTTGACTGATATGATTTGACTCTTTGGAAAATCTCTTATTTTCGGGTCAAAACCAAGCATGGTGAATTTTGGAGTAACCGTAAGAAACAATTTGTGGCATGTGTGCAACCTAACTTATTTCATTCACTGAAGTTATTTTCAGACTTAGAATATAAAATGTAATACTAAAATTAAAACTGCATTTTTTTTTGTTAGATAACTTATATGTAAAATGTATTTAATTTGATGTGATCTCTTACTTTTTTGTCAAGTATACTGCAGTATTATGAAAATTTTTTTTTTTTTTACTTTACAAGTTGTGTACAAGTGGATGATAGCACGTGTATTCTTGGTGAAAGAATTTTTTTCTAAATTAAACCTATATATCATATACACATAATTTGGATAATAATATGTAAAAATAAGTTTTTGTGCAATTTGAATTACATGTATGTCACTCATTACATTTATTTGACTTGAGTAAATGCTTAAAAGTTCTCACAAACAGGTTCACGCATTGGAAGATGGTAGCTATGACATTTCTACTGTCGCGAGTAGGTGCAGAGGGGGATACAAAAGACTTCATCAAGAAATTCAATACTTACAATGAGGTCTGTAGAGGACTGGGATATAAAGGGAGAAAATGCAGCGGAAGTTACGAAGGTAGCAACGTTTTGGTTTTCATACTAATTGTCAGGCCATTATTTACACATTGAATTGTCGATTGCAGATTGTCAAAATGAAAATTAGAATAGTTTCTAATTAGTGTCATAGTATGCAAAGTATCAACTGACCTCACATAGTTTTTATTGCATTTTATAGGTATAATCGCCTTCCATGCAATCATGTCAAGTGATCGGAAAAATCTGGGAGCAAATGTCCCAGTGATATTTGGAAAGATGACAGAAAATGCAGCATCTTCATATGACAGAACCACGGCAATCCCCAAGACGGAATCTATTCATTTACCTGGACCATACTGACAAGTCCTGGGAAGAGATTTGACACAACAATAGTTCTCTATGATAAAGTTGTTGGCTACAACTATGCAAATGGAAGAGATGGTAGTCAGCATTATGCTTTGGGATCGGCCTCCGCTATCATTAGGATGAAGAAGCATGACAAAGTTTGGATAAGAACGCATGGGAAAGGAGAGTTCATGACTCATGGTCCTCATTTTCAGGTTTTAAATTATAATTTATGACTGAATTATGAAAAAAAATAAACACCTCATAGTTGTGTTCATTTTAATTTTTTTTTTTTTTAATTTTATAAAAGTATTATTTAAAGAAATTCACTTTGAATATTAATAATTTATCCATTACTAACCAAAGTTTTCAGAAATAATGAAATATACATGTATTATTTTTATCTGTGGAAAAAAAAATCTTTAAAAATTGTGTAAGGCTCTCTAGTTTTCAGATGGATTAATAAATTCAAAAGGACAAAAGGGAGAGTTAAAATACATGTATAACAGTCATACTAGTTTGAAATTGTGGGGCACGAAAATATACCGATGCCGTGTGCCACGTAATATCTGAAAATTTTAAATTTACACTGAAAGACATTGCTAAGACACTAAACATTTTATCATCACATTTTATACAATTGGAAAAAATATAATATTTGTATCAGATAGGTGCCTTTTTTTTTTATCAGTAATGCTTTACTCAGCTTTAGAGAAAACACGCGTCAAATGTGCCAACGGTCTATTAAATAAAGAAATGTTTTAACAAAATCGAAGATTTAATAACTTGCTTGATGGATGACAAAACATAGGTCACTTATATAGCCGAAACAATTCTAGAATAAAAATGTGGAAGCAAAGAAAAACGTTCTTTTTTTTATCAATTATTACGGTAAAGTGAATCAAGGGTACCAAACATGTATTAATAGTTTTCATGCATTTTGAGAAGTCCAGTAAAACATGTACATACTTCCAAATAAAGGACTAGCAATGGCAACTTTTATGTTTCAAATTGCACGATGGAAAGTTACACAAATTTCTTGCTAAAGGAAGTCCAGATACCGGTCCCAGGGTAATATTTCTGTGTTTGACAACGCAGCTTTAAATAAGCTGAGAGAAATACGTAAGATTTGGAAGAAAAGAAAGTATACAGAGCCTTTTCCATCACCCATATTTGCTAGATCTCAGTCATTTTTAGATCTTTTCATTCCCTAAACGCATGGAAACATGAAAAGGCAGGAAAATTGTACAATATCGGATATGTCGTGAAAAAAAAAGATATTTATCTGTGTCTTTGGGGCATCCCTAAAGATGAGTATGCCGAGGTTTTCTCTTCATGGGTACAAAGACCTAGAGGTATGACATTGTAAAGGGTATAACAGGGAATGCCTTGAGAGATTGAAACTAGTAAGATTATATATTACATACTTTTCTTTTTTTAGATGATATTTTACATTATTACTTGAACGACCCTTGCAGTACTTGTATTATATAAATAAGAAAAGTTGCTGTTGGAAAGTTAAAGCCATCCCGTTTGTTAACTTAAAGATATGAGTTGTATCACAAACGGATGGCATCAGCTTTTTTTACTGTCAACTTCCTTTGATTATATTGTAATATTTTT